TCCAGTCCGGGGCAGCCCGCCCCGCCCCGCCCCGCCAGTATATTGTGTGAGCCCATCAACCTGCTTCGACGCTCCACAGCTCCGCTTGTCTTTGCCAATTCAGCCGCCTCATCGTGCTGCGCTTGTGCTGCCGCCGTCCGCCGCCACCAGGTTCACCTGTACGCTGTCACAAACTTGGGGCAGAATCTTTTGGCTCGCTCACGCCGTGGGCCGTGGAGGGAGAAGAGCGTTGCTGTGTTGACAAGGGGCCCAGCCGCAGGGACCCTCGCCTCCAGCAGTGTGTTTATTCTGGGTCTGGATCAACCCCTCGCCTGTCAGGCGGCGACCCTTCTACAGTCCACCTCTGACCGGCTCGAGTAGCGCCTTTACTTCCATTTTTCTCCTGAACAATCTGGAGGGGCGGGATCGACCGCTGCCCCGAAGCCGCATCCTAATTTGATGCTGGTAGAAAGGACTCGTCGTCGCCGGCATTTAATGAAAACGCCGATAGTGATCGCCCGGTCAATTTAGCGACCGTGACTTGCACTGTGGCCTCGCCCCGCCGGGGGGAGCCGGGGCTACTTATTGGCGGCTGGACCAAAGAAGGGAACGAACGGCGCCTGGACAAAGCTTCTCCAGGAGGCGCTCCCCTGCAAGAGTTCTCTCCAGCAACAGCGGCCCAGCAGCTCGGCCGGGTCGAGCACAGTATGTACACTGTACGCCGCATGCAGGCGCAGCAGGCGCGAGGTGTAGGGCCGGCCGCGCGGTCCAGCTGCAGGGGAGGGGAGGGAGGGGGCGGAGGGGCTCCAGGCCCAGGACGGCGACGGGGAGAGATCTAGGCTAGATATCGCAGGGACAGGGCGCGGGCTGCGGGCCCTACGATGGACGTTAGTTCCGGGAGAATGCAGCCCCCCCCCCTCTCTTTCTCTCACACACATGCACACACACACACACAGAAATAAATTCACGCAAGTACATTGTCTTGCGTGACGTACCTTGGAGCTTTTTCTCTGTCTCCCAGAACTTCTGCAGCTCGGTGAAGTACTTGTCCAGAATGAAGACCTTCGAGAGGCCCAGGGTGCCCATGCTCGCGTTCACTGCTCCTGAACCACTTCACACTTCTTATTTCTATCACTATAAGCCATCCATGGCAATTATTGGCACACACGCTGCTTCCACGGCATCACTTCGCTCTGCACACACTCCACTTCACTCGCCGGGGGTTCACATATCACTCGCGACACTCGCACTCGTTGGGGGCGGCGCGGAGGCGGAGGGACAGGGCGAGGCACCCGATGCAGCTCTCGCGCGTAGCGTCGACACCGTCGACGCTCACCTGAACACAACCTGTTGGGTCCGCGGTCCAAGCCTGACTGGCTGGAGAGGGGGAGGAGGGGAGGGAGCCGAGTCGGAGGCCGGCTGGGCCGGACGGG